TGAATTGTTGAAAATGATACTAATTGGTTTACACAGAGTTCCTGATATGAGTTTAAAAAGTTTTGTTAGAAGACTATTTGGTCCAACACTCCTCCATTCTATAATAGTGGAATTTATATAATCAAGAGTTTCCTCTATCGTTATTGGTTGCATATAAAAATAGTTGCTAGTAGGATTGGTCAGGTACTCATGATAGTTGAATTTAAAATTCGGAATTTTGTAGGATAATTTTGAAGCAATCGTGGTAAAGAAGTTATTAAAATGATTTGACATTTAGTTACGTTTTAGGATTGGTTTCGCATTTGTTGTCAATGAGTATGCTTGTTAGGAAAATACTATTATTTCGTTTAACATTTATTAACTCCTTTATACCTGTCCAGTTGTTTTTTATGCTATTGATGTGAATAGGCATTATGTTTTGGTCTTTTAAGCTCCATATTTCCTTAGATAGTTCTGTGTTATTTCTATACTTAACTGATGCAAATGATTTGAGATGGTTTGCGTATCTTAGTTTAAATGGTGTATTACTAATGCCAAAATCTACTTTTCTATTACGATCATGATGACTGAAACTTAAGTTTAATTTTGCTGTGAGCATATATTCAGCAAGAGTGCTTGATGAATGATACCAGAGCTATATAATTAAAGATTACGAGATTAAATAGAATAACTACATAATTTTTACTACTAAAAGTTTCGTGCGTTAAGCAATCATTAGGCCCAAGGAAAACAAAATTTTTTGGAAACATGTTTAATAATTAATATTTTGAGAGAAATAGATTTACTTTTGTTTACTGGTTTGCAAACAAAAGTAAATCTATTTTAAGTTGGATGGGGGTTGCTGACAGACTTTTTGAAGGTAATAAAATTTGCTTTTGTGCGCTTTGAGCAATGCTCAAAGCGCACAAAAGCAAATGCTTCAACGTACCTACGCCACGGATTTACATACATACCGGCATTTTACATACATACATTTTACATTTTCTGACCGCTTTAGATCCTTTTTTAAGGCTGATTTTTTTTTTTTTTTTTAAATTCAAAATTGCTGTCAAAAAATGCTGATTTCTATGACGTTGAGGGAGTGTCTAAACTCATTTTGCTGAGTTTAGCTTACGCTACATATATTTTGTATTTAAATCATATATTTTTTGATTAAGTTTTATTACTGAGTATTTTGCATCTCAATAGTTTACGTCTTAATAAATTTGCAATATTTTATTGCAAATTATTGCATTTTATTGTTATATTAAGAACTCTTTATACATTTTATGTATTATAAAAACGACTAAGATTTTCTCTGTTAAGTTAAAAACTTGGTTCTTTGCTTGTTACTTTAACTGTAAATTTGTTCTAGGGTGCGGTTAACTTCGTTATCAATTTTCTCTAGCCTACCTCAGATTAGACCCGCACCTTAAAAAATGTTAGGAGAGGGGGTGCTTTTTATAAATGAGACATTTTATATGACTTTTATGATCAAAGTATATGCACTGCAGCACCAAGCGCAATTACAAGTAAAAGCCTTAATATTAATAAGGTATAATACCGAGATTGAGTAAAAGCACTCACTCACTGACGTCTTGTATTATTCAAGTGGCAGTCACTTGCATCGTGATTTTTGCACCCATGTCGTTTCCTTATTGGTAAACAATCAGAGCTCTTTGGAGGACCTTCTATTTAAACAACTTTTTTTCAATATGTACTCCGTTTTTTTACAAAAATGTAAGTATATACTAAAAAAAAAGATATAAATGTTTTAAATAGAACTTTTGAAAAAATGTTATTCTTAGGTTGATGGGGGGGGGGGGGGGAGTTAAGTATATTTTGGGGGAAGATGACCATACCCTAAAATTTACTAATGTTTTTATAAATACAAGATGGCAGTAACTTCCATCTTTATTTAACCCAATTCTGGTCATGCTACAATTTGCCACCATATCTTAAAATGATAGGCATAATTTACTGAGTTGTTAGTGAAAATTTCATAATTTTATCTACTTGTGCACATTTCTAGTCATTTTTAATGCTGCACTATAAAGCAAAATGCTATTTACCCCTTAAAATTCGAACACGCAACCA